AGGGAGAAAGGGGTCTGAGAGGGTACTCCCCACCTTCAGAGGGTCTGCTGGGAGCAATATGCCTTAAGCCAAGACACAGACAAATGCCGATTATCACATATGCCACAAAGAAATGTGCAATGAGGTTTCTGGAAAAGGTTCTCTGAGGGAGCGTCCATGAGTCTGAGATGGGAGGAGGCATGGGTGACTACCCCAGACAGGAAGAGGGAAGTCTCTGAAGGAAGCAGAGAGAGCTTTCCCCCAGGCCCTGGAAAGGGGACACATCACATGTTTAGAGCAGGGACCCTCACCCTACAGAGGATGCAAGAGTCAACCTCCACCCCCAAGAATTCAGATGCATCTGTCCTGGTGCAGGGTCCTGAAGCTGCATTTATAATCACACTCTGGTGCCTCAGGTGACAAAAGTCATAGATCCCCTTGTGGGAGACTCATCAAAAAAAGAAACAAGGCCCACACTGACCCTGCAGAACCTCATCTGCCATGAGGATAGTCTCTTCATCTGAGGCTTGACAGGAAGCCACTGTAGGGCATGTGGCAGGCGCTGCCCAGTGGTACTTGGATTTCAAAGCTCGTCTCAGAAAGTGGGTTGGTTACCACTGCTGGGAATAAGCCACCACAGAACTTGGAATGAAACACATTGCCATTTTGTGTTGCTTGCAGATCCAAGGAGTCAGTAATTTAGAAAGGGCAGGGATGGCTGGTGTCAGCTCCACTATATCAAGGGCTCAGCTGGGAAGGAAGACTGGAGTCATCTGAAGTCTCGTTCCCTTGCCCTCTGTGGAGGCTATAGGACCCAGACTAGGACTGCTGTTGGAGCCCCACTCACATGGAGCCGGTATGGTTCAGGCGTCCTCACAGCTGCCAGCCTCAGGGCTCCCAGCACAGCTATTCCAGCCAAGGAACACGGAAGCAGCAGGCCCTTCCTGGCCTTGCCTCAGAACCCCCATTCCGCAACTTACCCCACTTTTATGCCAATAACTAACGCATAGCAATGCCCCTGCTCCCACCAGGGTACAGCCTCCTCAGCATCCCTCCACCTGCTCAGGCCAACAGGGTGGGAGCCTCAACACTTGCCCTGGCTTAGGGTTGAAGTGATGCAGTGGGTTCCTCTCGGTGGTTCCCAGTCTCTGCTGAATTCCCTTCGTGTCATCACAGGGTCCCACAAGGAGGGGCTGGGTGGGGAGGCAGGAGCTCACAGGAGCTGGTACTACATGGTTTCTCAGTGGTGACACAACTCAGCATTCTCAAAGGACTACAGAAGCACATGTGGCTGGTTCCATGTTTATAGAAATGAGTTGGAAGGCAGCCTTCACGTCTTTCCTAAATTTAATGTCTAGAGCCTAAAATATGAGTAGGAGGCTGGGTGCGGTGGCTCAAGCCTGTAATCCCAGCACTTTGGGAGGCAGAGGCAGGATTGCCTGAGCCCAGGGTTCGAGACCAGTCTGAACAACTTGGTGAGACCCCCATCTCTACAATAAAAAAAAAAGCTGAGCATGGTGGAGCTCACCTTAGTTCCAGCAACTTGGAAAGTTGAGGCAGGATTGCCTAAGCCCAGCAGATCGAGGTTGCAGTGACTGTGAAAGGGCCACTGCACTCCAGCCTGGGTGACAGAGTGAGATACTGACTCAAAAATAAACAAATAAAATGTGAAGAGGAGCCCACCATGCCAATGGCTTAAAGAAGCAGATCATAGTCGGGTGTGGTGGCTCACGCCTATACTCCCAGCACTTTGGGAGGCCAAGGTGAGAGGATTGCCCAGGGATTCGAGACCAGCCTGAGCAACTTGGTGAAACCAGCCTGAGCAACTTGGTGAAACCTCATCTCTACAATAAATTTTTTAAAAAATTAGCCGGGAGTGGTGAAGCATGCCTGTTTCCAGCTACATAGAAGGCTGAGGTGGAAGAATTGCCTAAGCCCAGCAGGTCGAGGCTGTGGTGGCCATGAGCATGCCACTGCCCTCCAGTCTGGGCGACAGAGACTCCAACTCAAAAAAGAAAGAAGCACTGAGCCCGTGGGTTCGAGACCCGCCTGGGCAACTTGGCGAGACCTCATCTCTACAATAAAAATCAAAAAATTAGCCGGGCGTGGTAGTGCACACCTGTAGTTCCAGCTACTTGGAAGGCTGAGGCAGAAGGATCGCCGGAGCCCAGAAGGTCGAGGCTGCGGTGGCCAGGAGTGGCCACTGCACTCATCTGGGGGACAGAGTGAGACTCCAACTCAAAAAAAAAAAAAATAAAGCACATCTTTCTAGCACATCCAGTTTCCTGAGGACAAGATACTACACAGGGATAAACACAGGGAGAGGGAGGAAGACACATGGAAGAAAGAGTGGGAGGATAAAATGGCAGAGCAACAGGCCAAGGTTGTTGGGCTGCACCAGCACAGCCACCACCAGCTGGGCATCAAGTGAGCCCTTGAACTGTGGTTGCAGTGACACATGCCGCAGTGTGAGATGCACAACAGATTTCCAAGTCATGATGTGCAGAAAGAATGCACACATCTCATTAATCACTTTTTACACTGACATGCCAAAATGTAATACTGGGGATATAGAGGTGTCAATATTAATGTCACTTGCTTCTTTGTGCTTTTTTAATGGGGCTACTAGAATATTAATGTTACCTCTGTGGCTTAGTGTTTCAGCTGGACAGTGCTGCTATGCACCGTGTACCCTTGCTTTCTCCAGCAGCTTTTATTTTATTTTTTGAGTTGGAGTCTCTGTCGCCCAGACTGGAGTGCAGTGGCTGCTCCTGGCCACTGTAGCCTCGACCTGCTGGGCTCCGGCGATCCTTCCGCCTCAGCCTTCCGAGTAGCTGGAATTACAGATGCGCGCTACGACGCCCGGCTAATTTTTTGATTTTTTATTGTAGAGATGTGGTCTCGCCTGTCCAGGCAGGTCTCAAACTCACGGGCTCAGGCAATCCACTCACCTCAGCCTCCCAAAGGCGCGGGATTACAGACTGGGCCACCGAGCACAGCTTACCAGCAGTTTTTATAAAGCACCAACATTGGGCTGGGCTCAGTGACTTAGTCTGTAATTCCTGCACTTTGGGAGGCCGAGGAGAATGGATTGTTTGAGACCAGTCCGGGCAACTTGGCGAGACCTCATCTCTACAATAAATCAAAAATTAGCCGGGTGTGGTAGCGCACACCTGTAGTTCC